ACGATGGTGTTAGCGACTCTCTTGAGGGCGGCGATGAAACCCTCGTCCTTGTGGCACTTGAAGTCGTCCAGCTCCAGGATGCACGGGCGCTGCTGGACGATGCTGCCGTTGTTGGGACGGAGCTTCCAGCTGCCCGGGATCCACCCGTTGCACTCCCGCTGGTCACTCCAGCTCTTCTCCTGCACGCCGAAGGACATGCCGTTGGCAGGGGGAGTTATTCCGCGGCAGGGTGCTCTTGCCCTTGCCGCTCACGGTCGGGGGGATGAACGGCGTGCCCTTGAAGATGATGCGCGGCGAAACATCGTTTTGCCGTCCGCCATGACAGCCAGAACGAGCGTGAAGCGTTCCTTCTCTTTGCCTGAGGGGAGGGGGAAAAAATCAACGCGAGGGGAGGGGGGTGAGGGAGTAGAGTGTTGAATATTTCTGCGAGGACAGCGGTGTGTGGTTGATACAATGGATGCAAACGGTACCGGACGTTTCGAAAACTAAGTTGGTTGATAGTTTGGATGCAATGAAAAAGGAAGTGTAGAATAATCCCGCAGAAAAAGGTAGCAACCTTCCTGTGTCTAACGATAGAGAGCTACATCGCACCGTGTACCGGCACGCAATAAAAAAACATGTCTTAATCAAATTGTCCAACGACAAAAAATCCGCACACCACACAAAATTTTGACAAAAATGTTAGCTCGCCCTCACCTCCTGTGCTGATGCGAGCATCCTTCGCACCGGTCTTCTCCAGAGTGGTCTCCACCGGCATCTCGTGCTGGTCTGGCGTCGGTCCATGTTACCGAGTTCCTCAAAAACCTCCGCCCCCACAGACGCCAGCTGCTCGGAAGTCAGATCCTCTCCTTTGATGGGGCTCTCGTCAGGTGCCGGCGGGTGGCGCCGAGCGTAGATCTCACCGGCGCGCTTTACGAGAGCCTCGCGCAGCTTCATCCCCGTCGCCCACGCCATACCCTCGTACCCCTTCGACAGTTTCTGGCCCACGCTGGTACGCCGGCGGATGCTGAACCCATACCGCTTGCTGCGAAACCGTTGGTACCAGGAGTTGAATTTGACCTTGAAAGCCAGCGCCTCCTCGGGTTTCACGTTCGCCGGCATCCCGCCAAGGGCGTCAGGCTTCAACTCGAGCAGCTTGTTCATCACCTCCCGGTTACCGCAACCGCGGTGCTTCTTGCGCTGATCGTTGATATAGTCCACAAGGGCTTGTTCGGCGTCGACTGTCGAAGCTTTCCCTCCGCTGTGAACCTGCTTGGCCTTCGAAAGCTTGGGGTGACGCTGACCTTCTCCCTGAGCTGCTCCTCCTGCTTCAGCCACTCAATGATACGCTTCCGAGGCACCTGGAGAACTTTCGCCGCGCCGTTGTTTCCCACCGGTTGACCGTCGCACGGGCAGATCTCCCGTGTGTAGGCCGCCGCGTTCAGTTTGACCAGATGGGGTAGCTCCCTTTCCCTCCCACTGCTCCTGACCACTCGATCGGGAAGTTGGGCTCTGGGTACGCGTGTTTGCCGTTGCTGTTTTTGACGGGGTCGTTGGCGGCTAGCATCTCATCGATAACCTCGCCGGTTGCCTTCGGGTCCGCAGCGGCAGCTCCCTGATCCGCAGAGGAAGGACCGCCAGCACTAGCCTGTGAGGCCTGTGAGGCCTGTGAGGCGTCGGCAGGTCCCGCGCTTGCACCCTCCGACATCGTAGCCGCGCGTTGCGTGTGGTCGAGCCTGCAGCTCGATCCCAGGCATTTTCCCGATTTTCCGCCGGTAATCTCGGATTTGAGACGCATCTACATTTCGGAACGAAATCGGGAAGAGTCAGATATTCCAGAAAGGATGTTGGAAAATGACCCCACCTAG